GGAAAGATTTCACAACATGCTTTCTCCAAAGGCCAAGAGAGGACAAAGATAAGCATTAATTTTTAAATTTTTTTGTTTAAAGGTCTTCAAGTCAGAGTAGAAACTATGGATTAAGCCAGTATTTGGTCCAATACTGTTTGTGTTAAGACATCTGCTCGAACTGTTTCCAATGACACTCCTTTGTCCAAACCAAACAAGACAATGGTGAACTATCTTGTATGCTTAGATTTGTAATGAGCACAGTTTGGAGGAGCTGTCTTTTACATTGAAAAAATTCTGTTTCAATTATAGTGAAGAATGCTGAGAAATCCTAAATCACCATTTTTTTTTACAGAAGTAAATACAGTATTTGTTGGTTTTCACATTTAATATATTCTTCACAAACTGGAAGAAAGAATTACCAGGGAGGGAAAAACCTACTAAAAGACTAAAACATCCCAATTCAACAAAATGATATACACAGACAACTTTTCAGTAAAGCAGGCATGAGGAAGAGCAATACCTGTAATAACTTAATAAGATGATTTTAAAATTCACATATTGTTACCATCATCAGGATATCATCCTGGCCACCCCTTGGCTTCTGGTCCTTGTGGTCTTCACCGTCTGGATTCAGGTGAGCACAGAGGACACACTATGGAAGGCAGGCAGGCAGGCAGGCAGGCAGAGTGCGTTACTGAATTATACAGCGTTCTCCAGGGTGAGAATGGCCAATGGCCAAGGGGACCACTGTGGAACCAGGACATAATGAGATTCATCAGGCATCATTCTTTAAAACTTCATACTTAACAAAAAAAGCTGGGTAGGTTTGATCCACACAATCGAAAGCTCGCACGATTGGAGAATTCAAAGTCTGAGGCCGGCTGTCTCGCAGGCCAGAGTTAGGTCCCGAGTCTATTGTGGTCTGACTAAATCTTGTTCCCTCTAAAACTCATGTCAAGATTTAATCTCCATTATGAGATATTGAGAAATGAGACAAGGTGAGACTTCACACACACGGGATTAGAACTTTGCCTTTGAGGGTGGATTAACCCATTAACACAGTTAATGGATTAATTGGTCAAAGTAGGAGTCTGCTATAAGAGCAAGACAAACAAGCAACCTTAGCACAAGAGTGTGCCTGCCCTAAAGCCAGCTTGACTTTGTCCCTCATGCGAAGATCCTCAGCAGCCAGGATTGTAACTTCCCTTCTTTTCTGCTTTTTTGGGACAGTCTATCATCTTTATTCTACTAGTTAGTAGCATCTCTCAGTAACATTTTTTTTTGTCCAGCTTGAGTTTATAGAGGCAATACACCACTGAGACTTTTATTGATGCATCTTGCAAGTGTATCTATTGCTGCTTCAGTAAGCCAGTTTTCCTTTGGTTTTCCCAAGGGGCAGAATGAGCCAGGGGCTCGTCTCTGCTCTCAGCCGCCTTCTTTGCTCCCTCCGATTCCTTCGTCTTCGGTCCTGGGAATTTTCAGCATCTCTTCTTTGGTTAATGAGACCAGCTTATCTGTATGATGGAACTTAAAACTACGTTTTCAGGCCCTTGAAAACACCATGTTTGTGAGTATTATAGGAGAGTTTCCATACATTTCTGAATTCTCCTTTCCTAACCCCTTATTTTGGTCTCTTCGTTCAGCATCTTCAGAATTCACTCCTAGGCATCCTATCCTCTTTCTGGTCATGCATTAGACTGGATACTGTGGCCAGTTTGCGGTATAGGATGCTGTTCTCTAGAGTCTGACACATTCCTCCACAGGGCTCTGCTGAGGTTGCACATTACTTCTTGGTGTGGTGACTTCGAAAGGAAGTAATCTTAAAACAGATCACATGACCCATAGAAGCCCTAATTTGAGACTGCCCAGTCTTTCAGTATGGGGAGAAGGCACACATTCAATACCGGTGATCTTTTCTCTCTTCAAAGGGGAATTTGCCAGGAGAGTCTGGGAATTAAAGTTTCTCAACTACATCTACCTCAGGCTTCTAGGTCAAGTTTCAAAATTCCTTTGTTTTCCTGCCAGGGCCAAGACTTTGCTGTAAGAGACCGCTTTCTCTGAAGTTTTGCAACTAAGTTTTGTGCCTTATTGTGCCATCCCCACAGGTGGCAAGAGGTGTTTACAACACTGCCAAAGGGATTTCTGGCTTTCATGGTGTCTCTCACACAGAGATAAGCCGAACAGAGTTAGGTGTTCTTTCCCTACAGTTCAACCGAGCTACACAGTCCTTGCACGTCTCCGTGTTTCTCTTTGTGTCGCCGTGAAGAGATCGTGCTTACCAGTGTATTCAGGCTACCAGGGTACCTGAGCCATTTGCACGGCCACACCACACCAGGGTTCACAAGTGGAGACTTCTTTGCTAACAGGTAACTCAATGCCAGACTTCCTTTAGCGCCTGCTTCCTAGGCCTCGTCTTAACATCAGCTCCCTTCAGTCAGAATTCCTAGCAGCAGAATGTCAGATGAGATATGGGTGTGTGAGGTCTGCCGACACTGAAATAGCCCTATTTTATGAGTTTTACTCGGAGAATTTGAAAGCCTCCATCCACTTGAGAAGTTCTGGCCACCAATACACTGTTGAACACAGACAGCTTATTTTAAACCACAGACGACAAGATATTGAGCGGAGCCTAAAGATTCATCACTGTCTTCCTGTTGGGACTCTAGTATCATGAGATCTTCAGGGTCACATCGGGCAGTAGTAGTGCCATGTCGACCATAGCTGGGCTGGGATTTAGAGTCTCTTTTGATGTTAAATCCCTCAGTCTGGCAGCAGTAATCCATCAGCGATGAGGACATCACCCAGCATAAATGTTGGTTGTTAAAAAGCCACAGGGTAGTGAGTAAAGCCTTCGGGAGGGAAAGAAGAGCAAGAATTGAAAGCAAGTGTCTTGTTCCAGAGTTTCCCCGTTTTCATCCAGAATCAGACACTGTTAACCATGGCAGGGTTGCTAGCCTTCAGATGGGCAAGGAGGAAGGCATCATGGGAGACGATCTCGGGAGTAAGCTATTAGCAATGCCTTGCAGCAGCTGTGGGCGGCATCCGCGGCTATTTGGGGAGGGCAGCAGGGAACCACGCGCTCTCATTTCAGTTGACAGACACAGGAACACCAAACACACCCAGAGTCAATAGTTCTCATGGAGACAACGTCCGATGTTTCTGATTGATTTTCATAAGATTTTTCACAAGTGATCTCTAGAAAAGGACGTTTGTCCTCTTTGTGTACACAGGTGTAGGCACGCGCACCTGCCATAGGCACCCTTGAGTGAAGGTCAGAGGAGAGCTTGTGCGGCAGGTCCTCTCCTCCCGCACGAGGATCCAGGGGATCGGACTACGTCATCCGGTTTGTTTACAAGCGCTTTTACCTGCTGAGTTATTTACTGGCCCGTGAATGACTTGTTTAAACCTTTACTTACACAGTTAGGATTATACACAATTTGTTATTCTACTTCTTAGAGTTTAATATTGTAAGATTTTTAGAAATACAATTTTTAAATCACAGCATAAGCATATAAACTTGTTTTTAAGAAATCACCATAAAATGTTAATTTTAGAGAAATAAGTAACCTCTCATTTGATATGACACGTAAAAAATATAAGGTTGTAGATAGAGCTTGTCTGGTCCTCACAGGTTGCTATGGCAACTTGTCAGGCAGGAGCAGAAAGCCCGTGTGGCGGAGTCGGAGGATGGGTATGCTGAAGAGCTTACATTCATAGGCGATGGATTCAGAATGGTTCTAAAGGGACAATACCTTACACAAGCACCTCCAGACTCTAATATCATTATTAGAAGATCGTAACACAGATCAGAGTGAAGGGCCACACAAAAGCGAACGCTGCTAGAGCCAAGGTTGCCTGTGGTACCTCATCACGTAGCAAAGATTTGGGGGCCGCAAGGGCAGGGGAGGGCACAGAAAAAGTGCGAGGAAGAAAAGAAACAGGTTTTTTTTTAAATTGTTTTTCTTCTCTTTTTTCTTTTTATTAATCAAATTTTTTTGTTTATTTTACATCCTGACCACAGTTTCTCCACTCCTTTCCTCTTATTCCTTCCCCCCACTTCCCCTCTGCCTCTCTTGAATCCATTAAAATATATTAAAAAGTCTGAGTGTGTAGAAGCCAGAGTGCTGGTTCAAAGGTTAAAAGCTCTTGTTGTTCTTCTGCAGAACCAGAATTCAGCTCCCTGCCCCCACATCGGGTGGCCCAGGGAAACTGATGACCCCTCTGGCTTCCACAGGCACCTGTGTGCTTGTGGCAGACACTCATGTATAGACATTCACTTAGACATGAATAAAAAGTACATAAGCACATTCATAAATGTAAATAATAAAGAAATCATTAATTTTTTTCTTTTAAAAGACCAGGTATGGTGGTGAATAGCCCTCAGGTGATGGAAACAGGATTAGGCGTTCAAAGACAGGTTGGGCTGTGTTGCAAGGTCTGTCTGGAAGAACGGTGGTCTGGGGAAGTAGTTTAGTGGTGGGGAGTTCTTCTGACAAGTGCGGAATACTGGTTTGACACCCAGAACTGTGCAAAAAGTCTGTATTTGGGAAGGAGAGCCGGCCAAGTCTTTCTTCTGATAATTCTGCATCCATTTCCCCAATGCTGTCGTCTAGGACGGGGGCGGCAGGGAGGAGGCAGAGGCAGAGGAAGGCCAGGTGTGGTGGGGTATTGGCAGGGGGGTTGTGAGTTCGAGGGTAACTGGAATTCAGACTGAAAAGTTAAAAAGTCATTTAAAATTATCCAGACGATCATAGAGTCATTCTGTACTTTTGGATAGGGGTGGAAGAGAACAGTTAAAGACTACAGAGGTACAAAATCTTGGGGAAAAATATCTATAAATTCATTAAATAAAAAATACAGCTACATTGTAAAGCAAACATATCTAAAATTTTGAAGACACCTTAGAAAGAATGTCAAATCCTTTTCTGCCAGCCATTGAGGAAAACCACAAAAGCCGTGGGCAAGAAAAAACAGTTAGTGCTGGTATGGGCAGATAAGACCAATGGAGCAACCGGGAGCTCAGGGACAGCCTCAGGTCCCCGTGACATTCAAAACATGAGGGAGCAGTGATGGAGAGCAAAGAGGAAGGCTACGCTGAATACCGCCTGGGAAGGTTGGCTACACACGGACAAATAAAGCCCAAGTGTGAAACACGAGAGAGTTGAGTCTGCCACAGAAAAACAGCCACGCAGGAAGAGCTTCCTACTGAAGGCTGTCAAAGGGAGGCAGTAAGTGAGATGACCGGGCGGGATTAGCTGTTTGCTGTATCAAGTATGAATGGGCCATTTGTACCTTCCCTAGGCAGAGGACTGTAAGCCATTCCCTACAGACTGTGGCAAAGGATAGGAACTGGTAACTCATAGGCGAGGACTTACCAGAAGCTTGTATGTGCCCCGGAGAGGCTCACTCAAGCACCAGAGACATGCTGGTCTTTCCACAGTGGTTTGACCTGAGCTGATGTACCCATTAACATTAGGGTCAGGACAATGCCAAGCACAGCCTAGGCCTCGCCTCAAAGAGACCCGGAACCTTATCCATCATGGATTCAACATTTATGAACTCATCTACTTGCTAAAATTTGCTTGCAACCCCAAAATTTTGTGGCACATTTTGTGGTTATCTGTGGACATCTAAAAGAAAAACAAAATATTTGGGTCACCCAATAAGTATACTCCTGGCTGAGGCTGAACACTGGGACATTTTGCTTTTTTTTGCTTGTGCTCTCTTGCCGAGAACAAGTATCTTTTTCTTGGTCTGTTTAGTGCCACATTTTTTTGCATGTTTGTGTAGTTTTTGTTTGCTTTCTGATAATTCTGAGGTTTAAAATTGCCTCTAAGTATAGTACTGAAGTGTTGCTTCACGTTGCTCTGTGCGGAGAGGCTGTGCTATGCCTTGGCTCTGTAACCTCGAGCTCTATAGCCTTTAGCTGGAGCTCCTTAAAGAGAAACACACACAAAGCGCCTCTGTGTACTAATAGATTGACAGAAGCATGAACAGGGGGTTGCAGGAATTGTATTTTGTGTTTTCCCTAGGAGCAATGTTTCAGACCTCACCTATTCAGTGTTCAAACAGCTTCAGAGAGTGCAGCTACCTCAGATAAAGAGAACTGGGCACAAGTGGTTAGCAGTGAACGACAGCCTGTAGGGACAATGACTTTGGTTAGTAGGATACACTGGAAGCATCCTGTGGTTGTCACTTCTGTGTCCTGCAGAGAAGGCCGTTCCTTCTGTGGTCAGCAAGATGAAGAGATTCTTGTCTAGTTTGTAATCTTGCCTTACTCCCAGGTTAATCTTTACGATTTGTACCAGGAACCCCTGAAATCCCAGCACACGGAGGAAGATGTAGGAGACCTGTGAGTTTGAGGCCAGTCTGGGCCCCACACTGAGATTCTCGTCTTAGAGAACCTGGGGTGGGACCTGTAACTTGCCAGTTGGATTTTGCTCAGCCTATGCAAAGCCCCAAGTTCCAGGTCACTGGGGAGATGCAAGTAGGAACTACTACAACATTTTGTTTTACCAGAATGGTTAATGTTCAGGAAACAAATGACAACACAGGCTGTTTGTGGCGGGCGTGGTTGATCGATAATTAACCAGACCAACTCAATACAAAGATTTAGCTTTTAATAAATGGGGAAAAACTTACAAGACCAGAGATCCCACGAACATCAGACGAGCTGGGAACCAAAGAGAGAGGAAGTGGCAAGGCACTTCGATCTTTTATTTGTTTTGTGTGGCCTGAGGTGGCCACACCTTAAGCAGAATGTGATTGGCTGAGATTCCCCATCAGCTGTTGGGAATGTGGGGAAGGGGGACCTCAGGCACTGTGCCTGGGAAGGCAAACTGTTGCAGTCACTATGGAAACTGGTGTGGCGCTTCAGCAAGAACTAGAAATAGATCTACCCTCTGACCCAGCTACAGCACTCCTGGTATGGACTTCTATATTCTTCTATGTCCTTCTACAGAGACACATGATCATCCATGTTCATGCTGCGCTTTCACACCAGCTAAGACAAGCAAACAGGCTGGACGTCTACCTACTGATGTGTGGGTATGAAGAATGTGGTGTCTATACACAGAGAAATTATGAAACGTGCAGGTAAGTGGACAGAGTTGGTGAGTGGATGGAACTGGGAGATAGGCTGAGTGAGGTAGCCCAGACCCCAAAGAGAAACGTGGCGCGTTCTCACTCACATGTGGATCCTAGCACCCTATCTTTAGATTTGTGTGTTTAACTTGGGGTGCCTGTAGAGGCCAGGAGACTCCAGTAAAAAACAGGAACTTTTGGTAATAAGAGAGAAGAAAGCTCTTGGGGAGGGGGATGGTAGAACACAGGTGATAAGAAGAGGGAAAGGCAATATTGGGGAGAAAGCTTTAAAATAGAGGGATGGGAAGGCAGGGAAGAAAAATGGGGAGGGAGGATATCTAGTACGAAGATCATTTATTGAAAGGGCCATATAGAAACCTACTGCTTTATAAGCTTCATTATATATAAATGTGTGCATCTACATATTATGCATATTTATGTATATCTCAGAACAGGGATATATATTGCCAAGTAAGTACCCCAGTGTAGGTGTGGGGTGTTGCAGCTAGAGTTGTTGGTCAGAGCTCTTCAAGAGGCTTCCCTGAACAATCCAGGCTGTTGCCATGGCTTTTGGTTGCTCACCAGAACTTGACGGTAAGACCCTATCACTAAAGAACCACACCCTTTGTCACAAGACACAGAAACCACATTGGCACTGGCCAGAAAGCTTCCTTTTTTGCCAGTCAGTGTTCACAGGCCCAGAAGGTCTTCTCTTGGCTTAACTGGGCATTTTTGTGTGTGAGAAGCTATTTTATCTTCCACCTTAGCATGACACCAATTCTTTTTATCCTTTTTCTGTTTCCAGTGCTACAGATTTCTGCTCTAATAAGTCTTATCTTCTTATGCTTTCCTTATATTTACATTATTTTATACTCATACACACAACCAGACACACACCAGACACACCACACACACACACACACACACACACACACACACACACACACACTTCTGCTGGGGATCAAACTCAAAGCGTTGTATTTGCCAGGCATGGTCTATCACAAATCTGCAGCTTGTACTTGCAAACTGCTTTTATTTTTCTGTTTTTTTTTTATATAAAGTAGAGAATTAGGTTCAAATCAGGAAGTAGTTGGTTAGTCCCAAACAGTTACGCCACTATTATACTAGTGGGAATGTCTTGCCTCACCGGTTGCTATTGCCACATTAGGGATCCACAAGGGGTCAGATGACTGATGAGTGTTCTTTCCCATAACCTGCCAAGACTTTTCAGAACTAGGGAGGCTAGGCAGCAGGGAGGAAGCATTCAGCTCAGTTCCAGTGCGGTGCTTTATATGTAGTGTTTTTGGCAATAGTAGTTTACCATCTAGTTCTGTTTTATCTAAAAATAGTGGCAATACTCTGAATCTTTTTTACCTCCTTGTTTGACAACTCATACTCCTACACTGGGATTTTCATTTAAAAATCTATAGTTTCTGGGAACAGTATTATCTACTCATGTAGGTAACTACACTCAAACTCTCTCTCTTTTTTAAAAAATATTCTTTTTGGAGCCGGGCAGTGGTGACACAGGCTTCCAGCACTGGGGAGGCAGAGGCAGATGTCTCTGTGTGTTTGAGGCCAGCCTGGTCTACAAGAGCTAGTTCCAGGACAGTTGGAGCCAGACACCGAGAAACCCTGTCTCAAAAAACCAAAATGTATATACTTTTTAGTTTGCTTTTGAGTAGTAGGCTTCCATATGGCTTGCCTATGCATTCTTAGTTTTGAATGACCCTTGACCCCATCCCTTGTATTTTTCTCATTCCTCTGTTCCATGCTTGGTGAGAATTTTCCACTTTTGGTATCCGTTCCTCCACTTTCAGACATCATCTTCCTTGTCCTTCTTCCTTCCTTCCTTTCTTCCTTCCTTCCTCCCTCCCTCCCTCCCTCCCTCCCTCCCTCCCTCCCTCCCTCCCTTCTTTCTTTCTTTCTTTCTTTCTTTCTTTCTTTCTTTCTTTCTTTCTTTCCTTCTTCCCTCCCTCCCTCCCTCCTTTCTTTCTTTCTTTCTTTCTTTCTTTCTTTCTTTCTTTCTTTTTTTCTTTCTTTCTTTCCTTCTTCCCTCCCTCCCTCCCTCCCTCCCTTCTTTCTTTCCTTTCTTTCTTTTAACAGCATGCCTCTTAAGATCTTTCCCCAGACTCACATGACTCCTTCTTACTTCTTAGCCTAAAACACCCACTTCAAATCAAACACTGAAATCTAAAAATTTAAACTAGAATCTACAGGTGAGCAAAAAACATAAGGTTTTGTCATTCTGGGCCTGGGTTACCCCACTCAATATATTATTTTCCAGTGCCATCTATTTACCTGAAAATTTTATAATTTTCTCTAGTGTCGAATAGAATTTCAGTATGTACATATATCACATTTTCATTATCCTCTATTGGTCGACGGACCAGCTGGGCTGGTCATTTCCTAGATATTGTGAATAGAGCATCAACATAAATGACTCATGTAGAAAACACTAAAGAGAACATATCTCCTACCTGGCAATCCATGTATGTTTAAAATTTATACATGCTATTATAGAAAAGTATTTGGTAAGTATTATGCAAATATTCTTTTTAAAGATTTGTTTTATGTCTAGGATGCTTTAGCCTGTATGTAAATCTGTGCAGTATGTGTGTGCCCAATGACCACAGAGGTCAAAAGAGGGTGTTAGATTTCCTAGAACTGGATTGATCGATGGTTGTGTGCTGGGAACCAAACCTGAGCCCTCTGCAAGAGCAACAAGTGCTATTAACACTGACCCAATATTCTTGAATTATAATGAATTGAAAGAATATTTACAAAAATAGCTGTAAATAATTCTAACTCCCAAAATAAGTCCTCAGAATTTCACTAGCATATTCAAGTGGTAGTGGAGACAAGAAGTTTAAAGCCATAGTCAATGGCTTTTCAGAAAGACTTCGGGCCAGCCACATGACACTGGGACTTGTTTCCTCTGCATATACTGGATTTTGGGGATCCAGTCTGTTTGGATACTCACCTTCCTAGACCTGGAGGGAGGGGGGAGGAACTTGAACTTCCCACAGGGCAGGAAACCCTGACTGCCCTAAGGGATGAAGAGGGAGGAGGAGAGGGAGTGGAGGGAGTGGGAGGGTGTTGGGAAGAGGGGCGGAAATGGAAACTTTTATAATTTAATAAAATTACTTTAAAAAAAAAGAAGTTTAAAGCCAGAATTTAGACAAGGCACATGGAAGAGATGATGTTCACTGAACACTAGTGTGTAATAAGCCTCATTTGAGGCATTTCATAATTGACACTTTACAATGGGCATGTGAAAAACTGCAGCCATTAATGATACAGAAAAGGGTATTATAAAGGTCCAGCCATTGGAGTTAAGTTATTCAACTAAACTTATTTCAATCCATACTTGTAAAAACTATTAATGCTCACATTTTTTTTCAGCTTTAGAAATCCCCACAATTATTAGGTGGGGTCCTGCTACGCTAGTAAAACTTTTCATTCCCAATGACTCTTGCATCTGCTTAATAATATTCGAAGGGACCAATGTGTGAATATTTGTAGAAATATTTTTAAAAAGTAAAGTGATTTCTTGGTCTTTCCCATCTTCCTTTCCTATGTCTGCTGCCAGAAGGTGGCCTTCCTGGTCTCCATTTTGACCACGATAATGGTGGGCTGGTACTACAAGGCACTATTAGTTGCCACGGTTGCTGGAGTTGTGTGACCCCCAGTCAACATAGAAGACATGGCTTTTCCACCTCTGGACTTACCTCTTTACAGTTTGTAAACCACTGTTCTTTAGCTGCCATGGGCAGCTCAACCTTCGCTTTAAGCTAACAAAGGATACAGTAATTTGTAGGGGGATGGTGCATGTAACAGAAATGGAAATTTGTGGGATAACTATGGGAGAGTTCTCAGGTAGGAGGAGGCAGGTGCCCAGATTCTTAGACCAGGAATCTGGGAACACCTGTTTACAAAGGGAAACATTTGGTTCAAATCTATCCTTCTGCATGTTGGAAGACGCTATGAGGTAAGTACGGGTGCACCTGATGGCCAGGCATAAGATACTAGCAGAATTGTTTTCATGGATAGGGTGTCCTGCTGCCTTACGCGGAGACTCACAGTGGTATCGAAGACTGGAGAACACTGTGTTCCAGCTGAAGTCACAGGAAGCTCTCCTATACAACAAGCATGGTGATTGTGTGGCCATCAGGAGACCTGGAGGTGCAGGAAATTGAAATAACCAGTAATCTCTGTGACTGATGGGAGCCCTCCCAATGTTGAACCCAGACAGAGGGCTTAGGACAAGTTAGCTTTTTCCTAGCACTGTCTTTTAAGGCTTGTTTCTAGCCATGAGGGTTAGCGCAGCAGTTAAGGAGCAAAGGATTGGAAGCTTTTCCCCTACACTTCAACGTCGGGGATCTAATGACAGTTTTGCCTAAACTGAGACAGATACCAAGAATGGGGCAGGGCACAGGATGCATCCACAGAGCACAGACTCCCGTTTAACACGATAGACAAGATCTCTGGTGGAGCTCTAAGGAGCACATACGATGGAGGCTCACCCAGGTGCTGGGGAGCAGTCTATCAAGAACAAAGCGTCTCGGCTTGAAACGGCCTGCAGCTGATGCCTCTCCTTGGGGATAACGCAATCAGACAGTGTTGAAGAAGAATGATCCAGAAAGCTCACTTCAGCCTACCTTTGGGAGAAATGAAACAGCAAACAGTCCCTGGTTCCGTCCGCTGCTTTCTGACTAGGTGTGAGCACTTGCCTCCTGCTCCACGCCCTCCTTCCTCCCCAGGATGAACTATCCTCTTGTGCCGCAGCTGAAATCCCTTCCTGCTTTAAGTTTGCACCAGTGATTTTTGTCTCTGTGATGAATATGACTCCTTTTCCTTTCAAACTTTCTCCTCTCATTTCTTTCCTCTGCCTTGCCTTCTCTTTCCTTTTCTAAGTAGCACTGTACCCCACTCCCTGAGCACACGGCATATGGCGTATGATGGGGACTAATCTTTTACCTTTACTTTCTCAAGCCACGAAGAACCTAGCACCAAACATTCTAGACTTCTTGGGGTGTGTGGTGATTGGGCAGAGCCCAGGATGGAAAGACCTGGGGATTGTATTTAATAATAAGCCATATGGTATAAAGGGAAGACAGCACTGACTTTAATAACTGGCCCTCTGTTCTCATGCTTTTCAAAAATCATAGCTTCCCTGGACTTTAGCTGCATCACGTCTCTGCAGGATGAAGACTGTGTTTCTCAGCATCATTTTTGAATCACCTTTGCCGTGTGCCTCATGATGATGGAATGTGCAATGTTGGTGGATTATCTCCCAGGTGTGGGGGGGAATGAAGCGCCTTCTGCTACTGCTGAGTTTCCGTGGTCTGCATAGCTCAGGCATGTCTGGTGTTCGTGCTTAGAGTCACGCACAGCTCAGCATGTGTGTGGGAGCTCAAATCTTTGTATTTTTTTCAGTTCTCTAATACCGTGACACATATCAGAGATAATCAATTTAGAAACAAGCGTGCTTGGGTGGGGCGAGGTGGGTCATAACCCTGCTCTAGAGCCAGCTTTTTAATAAAGTAGAACAGCATAAAACAACTCTTCAGGATTATCCATACCCCAAAGACACCCGAATCCCTGCAACACCGAATCCAGGGACCATCAGAGGGACCAAGCAGAGCAAGCAGAGAAAAAGGAAGTCTGGGTGTAGGCCAGCTGCAGCAGTGCAGTGAGGAGCAGGAGACAGAACAGGGGGCTTGCGCTGCTCTTGAAGTCTGTGCACCAGGAATCCCTGTATTACCCCAGTCTGGTGGTGCCGCAGCGTGAGGAGTGGCTGTCAGAAATTCATGGTCAGACACAAGAGCCAGCTTGGAGACAGAGCAAACAGGAAAAAAGACCTTCTTCAGAAGCAGAGTGAGAAGAATCGCCAACAGGCAGGTGTATGGAAATGCCCGATGCAGCAGGCTTCAGCAAATCAGTGAGCAGGACGGAGATGGAGCAAGCTCCAGGGGCAAGCTAGTTTGGAGGCAGCCAGGAGCAGTCAGCCTTGCAGAAATCCTGTAAACACAGCATGCGGCTCAGGGATGATTTGACTGTGCTTAGTCCAGATGCTCACCTCAGCAAGGAAACTTGAAAGCATAAACCCAACAGACCACAGAGAACAATGCAAAAAGACAGAATAGCAACACCATCAAGGAAGACCAGATAAACTCAGACAAGAGATGACCACCTTCATTCATACACCTGAACCAGAAGGACAGTAGGGCGTCCTCTCTGCCCCAGATACTGGGTCTGCGATCATGTTCATCTCCCCTTCATCTCTCCAAATCCCTGGACTTCAAAAACAGAACAGAAGAGCTCAATAATAGGTCTGAGCTTAAAAAGAATGCTGACCAGCAATTCTTACTTTGGTTTTGCTTTCAATTTGCAAATTGGGGCAGTTGTAGTCTGGGCTTCCTGGGGCCTATCCAGCCCCCCTTGGACTTACTTCCTCTGGATCTTATCCTCTTTAAATGATGGTGGTCATGGTCTTGGGCTTCTCGAAATTCCAAGTCCACCAGAGTCTGATGTCTCTAAGGGATCTTGCTGGAGTGCTCCAAATGTTATGTAGTTCCTGACCCATGGGAAAGGACTATAGACTCAATCCAATTATAAACAGAAGATTTATTGATTACTGCTGGCAGGACGGCAATCTCTGAGCCAAGCTTGAGAATGGGAACGAGGGAGGGATTTTTAAAGCTGAAAACCACAGGAAGACTGGTATCTGTACGAACAAGTCAAGTGCAATTCTGCTCTGCCAAGATTAGGTCATCAAGGCCCTGAATGTCTGCATAAGCAGGTTACAGAAAACTGAAAAGCTGTTAGTCAAAACATAACAAGCAGATGGTCAGTTATACATTCCTGGGTGAAAAGTCACTGAGTCAGGTTACTGGGAACTTATCTTCCTGAGACTGGACTCAGAGACAAATGGCTGGTGGGAACCAAGATGGATGCCTAGCAGAAAATGGAGTCCCTGCCTCCCATCAATCTAAAGACACTTAACCCTCAGAGAACAGTACTTGCCTGCTTTCTTCAAGCGCTTGTCACATTGGGGTTCTTAGTGATGCCAGGCAAGCGTCCTATTCAGTAAGAGGAAGCAAACCTTGACGTAGAGGCTGACCAGCTAACAAGACAGCAGAAGGCTGCTGACGAGAGTCTGAACTCATAAGTAGCAGCTTGGATGGTGAGGACAGCTGCTGCCAGAGTTGGGGAGAGGGTGAGACAGCTTGATTGACAGCAGGAGAAAGTCAAAGGAAAGGCAGAACGTGCACTTGGGTTTCGGTATTGGATGGTCAAGTGGGAAATCCCGAACTTTGAGGAACACTGTCGCATTAAGAGTGAGCAGTTAAGAGCCCATTGGCTAGAGGGAACCTCAGGACCAATGGCTGAGATGAGTGACGTCACTGTAGGAGGTAGCGTTTGATGCACAACTCAACCCTTGAAGATCTTTTCATCAGATCCTCCAAGACATGGAAGTGGCTTGGGAATCCGTGCGAGGTGGAGATGGACAGTGAATCTGGGCCCCACTGTAAATGATGCTGGTGATGAGAGGAGAGACGGCTTCTGCCATAGAGGGACTGTTGTGGCAGGCACGTTCTCTGCAGGGTGTTGGGGGGACAGGAGGGAAGAACATGTGGAGCTTGTGAAAAGGAAAGAGAAATAAAAGCTGGAGCTCTGGAGGTACCGCCTGGGGACCCCTGCCTGGGGAGGAGTCTGCAACAGGTGCTCTGGTTCCTCTGAGGCTGAGGAAAAGTCATGCGTGTAGGGTAGGGGCAAAACAAGGCCTTGGAGGTGCTGGTTTGAAGAACCCGGGGAGTTTGTAGTCTTCAGTATCAATTTTCTTGTTGAGGCAGGAGAGACTGCGATCCTTGAGGAAGAGAGAAGGCAGTGGGACCGTTTGGGCTTGAGGAAGATAAAAGTCTGAAAGTGTTCTTAGGAGAAGGGGAAAACAAGCCAATTAATATCATACAGAAGTGGGCAGCTGGCCTATAGGTTCTGTAGTGTCATCGTGACTTTAATATTTACTGATGGCAAAGAAAAGCACAGCCCTAGGAGCTGATGCAATAATTAATGATTAAGAGATGGGCTGCCTAGTACCTCTGTTGTCAAGGCTTCTGCTTGTGTGGATGCACAGCAAGGGTGTTTAGGGACCCAGATGCTGTGTGTACAGGCCCTGCTCTGCGTCTACACTCACAAGCAACTGCCCCCACCCTAGACTTTTAGTTTTCAAACTGAGGAATTAATTCCTGCTGTATAAGCCACTCAGTCTGTGGTATTTTGTTCTGGCCACTCAAACCAATGAAAGATAGCACCAAAATATAAAACCAGTATATTAAAAAGACCATATATCTAGTTCAGTTAAATTACTTCTTATTAGAGAATTCTTCTTGGATTTTGAGCAGCAAGCTGGGTAGCCTGCCTCAGAAGGCAGAGTGGCCTGTCTAGGGGACTCGGAGTAGTTCGTAGCCTCCATTTCTTTAGGCTCATTTAGGTGATTGGCTCTCGATCATGGCTTTATTAGGACCAAATTTCAGCTAGAAACCGGTATGAAATACGCTGGGAACACTTGCTCCCTAGGGCCATTAAATCACCTTGTTATTTATCACCCTCTAGAATCCTCTCATTTACATGTGGTCTCTTCTCATAGAAGTGCCTCAAGTTAATCTGAATTTGTTTAGACAATTTTATGGGTATTATAAAACCACAATTGAATTTCAGACCTTTGTAGCAGCCCAGCTGAGATGCACTCCAATTAGAAGTAATTGCTGTTAGCGCTGTGATGATGCGGTGGGTGCCCACTCAGGCTCAGACCTTTGTTCTGCTGAATTCCCTGAGAGCCTCTTCTTTAGCCTTCAACTAAATAGACAGGCCCCAGAATGCACGCTCTCAGAAGCGCGGTATAGGAGCAATATTGTGCCTCTCTCCTAATTAACCTTGTTAGCCAAGGATTTACAGCATCAGTTCGTTGGTCGGGGGGCTTTGATCCTCTCAAGACGCATCCACAGTGGTGGAGGATGCCTGTGTGAAGCGAAGTGCTTTGTATTCTTTGGCATACACTAAATCCCTTTTCAAAATTCTTTGGGGGCATGACGGGGTGTTTTTGTTTAATGAAATGATGTGTGGGAAGCATTTAGCGTAGTGCTGGATACAGTAAATATTAGTTATCACTGCTATCACGACATGATAGTTGAGTTAGTATGTAAAGGAACAGAACCGGTTTCGAGGATCCTGAAGAACATTCTAGGGCACCCAGTCACCTGCACTGTGTGACTGACGCCTCCAAGAGCATCTTACCCAGGAGATACTTAAATTCTAGATTCCTTGGGCTTTTAGAGCGTCTGCCAAGGTAACTCTCCCTTCCAGCCTCATCAGAGGCAAGATACAAAAAAGACCCCATTTCTCCCACAGGGTGGATGCTCCAGCAACTTGGGAATGAGTTGCTGGGATATGGTAATTAACATATGTTTCTTAATCTCGCTTTTCTAGTTAATTTAGAAAGCATGAAAGCACTTTGCCAGTTGATTAGACTTCAAGAATACAATGGCATGGAGACGAGGGTGCCTCTAATGAATACAGATAAAAGAAATTGTTCATTCTGTGAAAAACACCTAGCTGTGAATCCAGGTTTGAATTACCAAGTTAAACAGTGGAATCAGCTCTGGGTGTGGCCTTCGGATCAGTTAGTAATAACAAACCTAACTCAGTAAAATTTCATTTTCAGAGTAAAAAACAACCAGTTTGTGATCTCGTCTTAGATAAAAATGTGATCCCATCTGAAAGCCTGGAGTAACGTCATGGCCAGGAAAGCCCGGTGCCTTGTGTCAGACAGGCATTTATCTAACAAGTGCCACTTGACAGGGCACTGGGCAGTGGACTGCTTAACAGGATGCGACCAGCTGTGAGAGTTACTCTGTGTTACCTGGAGGAGGTAAGCTAGGTAGGAGAACCCACCCCGTGGGCGGCACCGTTGCATGGGCGGAGGGCAAGCTGAGCACCGGCATTCATCTTGCTCCCTGACTTTCAGGTACCGCCACTTCCGCACCCTATGGATTGTCCTCTCAAATCGAGTTCAGATAAATTCTCTTTCCCAAGCTCCTTTTCTCATCTGTTCTCTCATAGCTGCTCAGAGAACTGAAGCAGTAAGCCCCTTGCACGCTCGTGGCCCGGGTTCAACGGAGCCCAAAGTGAGAATAAGGCCTTAGAAGACCTGCCTTTCTGTATGTCCTCTGGAGAGAGGTCTTGCTGCAAGACGCTCATGGCTTCTCCTTTGTTCCGTCAAGGTTCAGCCACAGTGACCTGCTCTAGTAGGAGCCACCATAATTAGGGTAGCTCATTGACCTCACTTCTATCTCCTATAATTAAAATTTTTGTTTCGTTTTAAAGTGTTTTTAAACTGAAATACCCCTCCCCCACTTTTCGCCCTCCAGACCTTCCCAGTTACTCTTCCTCAAACCCTTCTCACATCACCCCTCCCTCACACTGATACGCTCATTCTCTTGGGTTATATTTGTTAAATACACATATATCTGTAAGCACCGATATACATAAATAGAACTTGCTGAGTCTGTCTTTGTTGTTTGTGTGTGTATGGTTTCACTGACGTAGGGGTTGAAATAGAAATGACAAAAGAACCATTTTTATTTTCCAAACGACAAACAACAGCAAAAACACCAAAACAAAAAAAGAAAAACACTCAACCAAAAAAAAAAATTGCATTTGAATGACACTGGAAAGACATTCTGGTCCATAGGGGAAGATGGGCTATACTTGTCTTTGGGTTCGGTCAGACGGAAGCACCTTTCTTCTTTGATAGAAGCTTGCTGGGGCAATGGGCATCAAATGACTCGGGGCACGGAGCTTGGCTTTAAGCTTTCTTCTTTGGGCCAGTGAAGCCATCCATCACATGGAAGACTCCCAGGTAGTCAGCTATCAGCATTCCTGTCTTGACAGGCAAGAAGCTACAAAGAACGCAAGAGGAAACGGTTTGGGTTACCACCCGTGAACACACCTCTGCTAGGTCAGTGGAAGACAGCCGCTTGAGCAGAGGTCCCTTGTTCACGCGCTTGTCACACAGGCTTGGGCTCAGAGGTTCCCTGCACGGCTTGGGATATTCAATTCACTTATTTTGGTCTCCAAAATATCACCAACTTAGGGTCGCGTGTGTACTCTGAAGATACTGGAATTGTTGGCACATGTTGGAGTAGGTGGGTCTACCTCTGGCACTTTCATTGCCAGCTTAGGCAACTTACCAGCTTGTACGCCTCCGTGTCCTCAGATATAAGCTGAGGGTGTCCTTCTTCCTACGACCAATGTGAGGATGAGACACACAGACAGTCCTGCAGCTGGCCAACCAAGCTAAGGTGTTTGCGCCTTTCATCCCCAGCTCTGCCTGGGAAGACTCACAGATGCCTCTGGCCGCCAGCCAGCACTCTGCCTGCCCCCTGCCTCCCCCCGCCCCCGGACCTTGACACCTAGCGGTTCAGAGTAACTGACAGAAGCTGCAGAGAACCTGAGATTTGTTTTAGGGGTGGGGTGAGGGAAAGGGTTTGGGCCCACTGCTGCTCTATTTGACACGCCAAGGCCTACCAGTGGTCTGTGTCCTCCACAGCTTCAGGGCTCTGGTAAGCTGCTGACATACTAGGGATCTTTCCATTAGTCAGTCCTTAAATCTTCGCTTGCCACCCCTTTTCACTGTAGTTCTGAGATTCCCTTTCCTGGCTTGATATGTTTGCAACACTTATGATGCCCAGGATGGCTTCTTTCGGTAGGGCTGAAGGTCTTGAGACGGGATCTCACTATGCAGCCCAGGATGGCAGATGCATGGCAGTCCTCTCGCTTCAGCCTCGCTAATGCTAGTGTCATGGGTATGAACAGCTTGCCCACCTAGTCTTTGTTTTCTCACGTGACATCCATCCCCGACAAGCCAATTTCTATCATGATAGGAGCTGCTTTGTATCTTGTTATCTTATGTAACCCCAGGTCCTTGAACCGTGAGTGGTGCATGGCTAACTAACACACAGTTCTCTACGTGTCTGAAGGAGCGTTTCATGTAATTTCTCTCATTGAACCTCTTTGTTTTTCTTCTATGTCTCCAGAATGATGCAGTCCTTCAGCAAAACATGTCCCAGAATGGGCAGGCCATTAAAGTCATATATCATGATCCAGAGTAAAAAAATGAAGCTTCATGTTCTTAGAGTTAGCTCTGTCATAGCGACGTCTGCTCCCTACACAAGTCCCACCCACTGTGCTGTGGGAACACACACTGTCCAATAACCAGATATTATGTTAATCTGTAAGGACCGCCAAACACTACCACTGTGGACAAGGCAACTGAGGCCTGGAGAGCAGAGGGCATGTAAGAATGACAGGCTTGATAAAGAGCGGGGCTAGAAGCCTGGGTTTCCAATTGCTGCTCAAAGAACGCTTGTGCTGCCCCCTGCAGCCTGTTGGCTGCAGGATTCCCTCGTGTGGGAGAGGAAGGGTGGGAAAGGAAAGGCTGTAAGCATGACTTCTGTTTCTAAGTAGATACACTTAGTTAATGGGAAAAGCATGTCTGTGACTGTTAGCCATGTGACAAATGTGAAGAATAACCACTGTACTCAAACATTTGAAGAACTGTCATTGTGATCGGGAGTGGAGCCGTGTGCAGAACTTGTGGGCCAAGAGAGGAGTAACAGGAGGTACCAAAAAGACCGATTCAACTCAACAGGAAGTGGTGACTGCCCATGGAATGTGTTCTTTGTAAAGGTGTGATCAATAGGAGGGGAAGCACAACACATCCATCATTGAAACTGAACTGAGAGACTAGGAATGAGCAGTGGGCTCAGTAGCTCAGCAGCCGCCTGCATGCAGGCCAGTGTTCTCAAGGAGTTGGTGCTGGATTTCAGCAGTGAAAGGCAGGGTAGGGCACAGGAGTAGACAATGGTGCTCTCTTTCCCTCCCTCTCTTCCTCCCTCCCTCGCTTCTTCCCTCCCTTCTCCTCTCCCTCCCTCCCTGTCTCCCTCCCTCTTTCCCTCCCTGACTCCCTCTTTCCCTTCCTTTTTTATTTCTTCCTTTCTTCTATTTCCTTTCTTTCTTCTTTGTTTTCTTTTCATTTCTTTCATTCCTTCTTCTTTTCTCTTCCTTTCCTTTATCTTTTCTTCCTTTCTTCCTCCCTCCCCTCTCCCTTTTTTCTCTCATTCCTTTCTTTCTTTCGTTCTTTCTTTCTTTCTTTCTTTCTCTCTCTCTCTCTCTCTCTCTCTCTCTCTCTCTCTCTTTCTTTCTTTCTTTCTTTCTTTCTTTCTTTCTTTCTTTCTCTTTTTTTTTCTGGTGCAGGAAATCAATCCCAGAACCTTGTGTAAGCCAGGAAAGCCCTCTACTACCCACCTAGACCCAGCCCTCTTTCGTCTGGTTTGAAGATCTTTTTCTTCTCTAGTAGATAAAATTTAGCAGCAATTGCCAGTTTTACCAATATTGCAGATTCTTGAGGCATCTGGCTGACTGTACGCGAGGAAGCACAGACCCCATATCTACACCGACACAATCGTTTTATGATGAGTGTGAGAACATCATTACCAAACAGAAACCAGGTATCTGTTTAAAGCTATCCAGAGCTCATTTAGGAAGCCCATTAAGCTTTGTCAATAATGCTAAGTTGTTAGAGAGGGGCCTCTGGAATCATGGTGGGGGGCACTGCAACTGAATAAATTGTTGTGGAGATCAGTATGGAGAAGATTTTCCTTTTAGAAATCCACTAAGCTAAGTAGTGCTTGCCGACTGGCTCTTTCTGGTAGGACGTGGAAAAGGTGGTGATTGGCGCACGGGGAAACATGGAGGCAGATGCCATTACCTTTTTAAGAACATTATGAAGTATAAAAACTTTGGCATATACAGGTACAGCTTCTCCTGCAGAATAGCTTCTACTATTTTTCTGACTGCATATTCCGGCTCCAGAATTGGTAGCAAAGTAGGACAACTAAGGTAAAACAAAACCTCAAATTAATAAAAAAAAATCATTCCTCAGGGTTAGGGATAAGGAATTTATAAGACATTGCCATACCTCTTTCTTGCTATTTCTAGATTTGTGCACTTATTGTCAAAGTAGTAATAGCACAACTATAATATGAAATGGAAACACATTGTAATTAATATATTCATGTTACAAATAGTCATCCATATCGAACCTTATTGAATGGTCTAATGATTTGGGATTCCCCTCCGTAATCTGTGAATATGTTTTATTATGGTTAATAAAGAAGCTGATTGGGCCTCTCACAGGGCAGAACAGAGAAAGGCAGAAATTCCAAGCAGAGATAGATGAGAAAGTAGGCAGAGTCAGTGAGACACCATGTAGCCGCCAGAGGAGACAGACACCTAGAACTTTAACTGGTAAGCCACAGCATTGTGGCAATACACAGATTCATAGAAATGGGTTGGTTTAAGATGAAAGAGCTAGCTAGAAATATGCTTATGCTATTGGCCAAACAATATTGCAATGAATATAATTCCTGTGTGGCTATTTTGGGTCTGGGTGACCAGAGAACGAACAAGCAGTCTCCATCAACAGACTAAGTGTGACATGAGTCAGTGGGAACAACCTGGGCTGTGTTCATAAGATGCAAATCTGGGTATTTGTGTCTGTAAGGCCTGAAGGTGTAAGGCCCAAATTTACACCTAAGCCTGACCTCTATATGATGATCTGGATCAGGAGTTGGATCTTGGAAAGTAATTAGGTCATGGGAGTGGGGCCCTTGTGAAGGAGATTAG